CATTTAAAAGAGTCGATCATCAGATATTGTCCAAAATTAACCTTCAGGGTGGATATAGCTCGCTAGCAGCCTCGCACCGATGACCTATCCACATCGTCTTTTACCCAGAATGCTTTGTGTGTAAATAAAATGGCTCCGTCCATGTTAAAACAAATTTGTAAAACATTTACAAAACTAAACAGTCTGTCAGTCAGTTTTTACAGTCTTTATTTTACAGTTAAAATATATGTTTATCAAATAAAATCTAATGTTACAACTAATCGTGAATCCCTTTAAGACTGGTTAGATGGATAATTTTTATTTTCTAGAGCTAACTTTGCCATGCAAGGGTACGCGTTCCTGCAAAGAATGACACTTTTTAATGCATCATTTTCCCAGAGTACTTACAGCCAGAACTTTATCATCATCTGTTCATGCCATTTTAATTTTTGTAATGTTTTGCATGTTTCTTCCTCAGAGCCATCACTCTGGACAACACGCTGGTTATCTTGTCCACGGTGGCACCAGATGCTGGGCGTTACTATGTGCAGGCGGTGAACGACAAAAACGGAGAGAACAAGACCAGCCAGCCCATCACCTTGTCAGTTGAGAGTAAGTGGCCACCGTTATACACGTACTGAAATTTTGTACCGACCCAGAATGCTTTACTTATGTAACAACACTGACTATACTTTAGTCCAAAAAGGGATGAATTTGAAAGAAATGTTAAAAAATAATCACAATTCTTTGTCAGAAGTTGATTGTGGATTATTAACGCCTACAAGCTTTTATTGTGATTGATTTCTAACAGCTTCTTAAAAAACTATTTATGACACAATAAAATGAAACCATCAGATTTTTTCATTAAACTCCACTTTGGTTGCTTTAAGTGACACAAAGCTCCAAATTATTATTTTTTTAAAACAACTTTAATTAATCCTAAATTTTGTGTTCTTTGCTTTCCCTTCCATGCCGAGCTAAAATAAAAATAAATCACCTACATGTTGTTGTTTGGTTCAATGGTGTGTAACCCCTAATTTACACTAGATGCGGTTCCGCTGCGCAGTTCGCGGTCGTTTCTTTGCACCCCAATTTATACAGCGCTCAGTGAAGAAGAAGCCTGTGCAGAAAATGCGAGATTGTGCGTGTTAAATCCAGTGATAAATGTGGAAGTCAAATCATTAATTCTGTGGAAAACGGACTCCAAACACAGCTGAAACTGCATCGCTGTCATCTTTTTGAAATTTCTGATTTCAAAATAAAATCCACGTGTATCAAGTTTACATATTCTGCTCGCTACATGTTGCCATCAGCTTCCCAAACAGAACGATACATTCTGACAGCATTTGTGTAAAAATACGTATATCCATATATTTKTTAATATAGCTGGGATTTTGACAAAATTAGTCTGCCGTTGGTGGATTATTTTGAAAATATGAACGTTGTGCTTATTCATTTTCCAGTTGGTGCAACGTGAGCAAAAATAGGATTGAATCTAATTTTGGCAGATCGCCGTCCGCTGACCGCTGCCCTGCGCCCATGTGGAGCCAGTGTAAACACTCTCATTGATTATAATGGTTGCGTATTTGCTGCGGAGGTCGGACCGCAGCGGAACCGCATCTAATGTAAATTAGGTGTAAGGAATTTCCACATTTGTGCATTAAATACCCACCCACACATACACACACTCTTTATTTCTACAGCCTAACCCTTACCCCATTACCCTAAACCTATCATCACAGGTACATACCTAATCCTGAACCTAAATTAATTCATACCTTAGCCCTAGACCTAAAACCTGACACAAAAATGTTTTTTTTCCATTGTGTTGACCAGGCAAATGTCCACATGACAAAATACCCTCATAAGCATAGTGTCAAAAGATGTTCACACAGCATTACAAAGACACACACATAGTAAAGAAGTTCTAAACAAATGGTTTTGCCACCAAGTAGTTCCTCAAATTCAGCAACATTCTTAGCCTCCACAGCAAAAAGTGAGGGATCCACAAATCGAAGCAATCTAGCCGGCCTCGGCTCAAAGGGGGAAAAAATGAAAGAGGAAATCTAACAGACAGGGGCTTATGACATGCTAGACTGGAGTTCATTATGAAAGTGAATGAGGAGGGCGAGGGTAAGATATTACAGTTGACAACACGAGCGAGCAGAAATAGCCTGTGGCACACGTTCAGAACGACGGCAGAGTTGATTATACAAGCGCTGGAACACACACATGCAAACACACCAAAGTCAGAGTGTACAGAGAGCCTGATGGGGGGTCTCAGCTCTGCAGATCGGATGGAAAACGTGCCATGCATTTGCATTAATGGTCCCCATATGCTCCACATATACATATTTGCACACACACACACACTCACATACAGTATGTGCAGGCTGCAGGAAGAGATGTGGTCATGTGAGGTTTCACATATATATATAT